GGGGGGGGGGGTCAGCTGGGCTTGCGGGAAGCACAAGAGCATCACATCACGTGACACAGAGTTTCCTTTGGCATTTCATAGAAGTCTTCCTGGGAAATCCCCCGCGCTCTGGTGCAGGCTGGATGTGGGCTGCAGGCGGCAGCAGCCAGCTGCTCTTTGCCTGCTTCTCCAGCTGTGAGCGTAAACAACCTTTCAGAATCTGGCTGGCCTGCTTCCTCCCCTGCCAGCTCTGGTGGAATTGGGGCAGCTGCCTCCAACACACGCGCGCACACACACACACACAAGGGCCCCGGGCTAACAGTGCAACAGTCTCAAAAGAGAGGTGCCAAGGAGCTACCAGAAGACAAAGGCAACAGTCTCCCCCCCCCCCCCCCGCCCCGTATTTCAGCTGATAGGAAGTGGGAGCAGAACAAGGGGCTCCCCAAGACTCAGCGCAAGGCCTCAGTGGGCACTGCCACCTGGTTGTCCCGGTCTGTGCAAAAGCAAAGGGGGGGACACTGAAATGCCAGGGTTGTGGCTCACTGACCACCCAGGACAGCGATGGGGGCAAGCCACCCCAGGTGGGTTTCCTCTCCCTGCCCCTCCCTCTCTCTCCCTCTCTCTGGGGCGCCAATGAAAGGGGGCCAAGGCCTGTGCCAACCGGGGCAGAGGTTTTGGCAGCAGGGAGGAGCTGCTCTTGCCCACTACCCAGATGCTGGGAAAGTCAGAAGAGGCACAACATCCACGGCTGTTTCTGGTGACCTTGTGCCCTTTTCTCAGCCCTCCCCCTGAAAACCACCCCCAGGAGCCCGGGGTTTCGGGCCTGGCCCTCAAATTGCAGGTGGGGCTGAAGGAGGCCCCGGTGTTTTTCCAATTCCCCGGGCACTTCCTCGGTCAGGGGCGGGGGGGGAGGTCTCCTGGCACTCCGGTTGCAGCAGCGGCCTCTCCGCACCGAGTTTCCCAGCACAAGCTGCGGGCGACCCTCCGGCTGCCAACTCTGGCGTGGGTCTCCCGGGCTTCTCTCCGGGGTCTCCCCCTGGGAAAAGGCCGGGCCGCCGATGCGCAGCGCTCCAGGCGCGGTGACTCAGTGGGAGTCCTCGCACCCGACGCGCGAGCCGGAGTCTCCCAGCGTGGCTCAGCCGGGAGGCCGGGACGTCGAGGCCCGCGGGCGATGCGCCTCGGGAGCCCGGCGCCGGGCAGAGGCGGCTCTCCCTTCCAGTCGGGCTGCGTGAGTCACAAGACCCGAGAAAGCGGGGATGCAACGCGCGTCGTGTGACCGGCCGCCCTGCAACGGGGTCGCCCGGCCGCCGCGACTTCTCACCCCCGGAGGCTGGTTAGGCGAGCTGGAGGTTTCTGCCGGGGGGAGGGGCGGGGCGGGGCCTGGGCCAAAGGGGAGAAAGGCCGAGGAACCTGTTGCCTTTGCCCCGCTGGCCCGAGGCTGCATGGGCATCTCCCTTGACCGCCCCTCCCGCCCCGCGGAGGCTTTTCCCTCCTGCCGAGAACGGGAGCACGGGGCCTTTCTAGGGGATTGTCACGCAGGGGCTCCCCCCCCCCCCCGCCCCCCCCCCCCGGCGGCCCCGCCGCCGGGGGCCCGGGCCGCCCGGGGGGGGGAGGGGGAAGCGAGGGTGAGCTGCGCTCCTGCCCCGCCCTCGCTTCCCAGGAACTCCACGAGTTCTACAGAAACAGCCCCGCCTCCCCCCGCGCTCCCCGGACAGGAAATGCCGCTGCTGGGAAGACTCCGCCGAAACTCCGCCGCTTCTCTTCCCCAAAGGCAAACGCTCGCCTTTTCCCGTGGGACTCCTTAGGCGACCAATGGCAAAGGGCGCGGGCCGGCCTGGTTTGCTGGCGGGCCAATCGCCGGTGGGAACGGACGGAATGAGCCCGCCCCTCGGGTCAGGTATATAAGGCGCTGTCGACCGCGGGGCGCCGCAGAGTTTCGGTCGCCGCCGTCTCTTTCTGCGGTTGCTTTCCTTCCCCGCCTGTGGGTTATTTGCCGGCTTCAGCTTCGCTCCGTCAGCCTGTTTTGCGGGAAGGCCGGGGCCGTGTTCCCGCACTGGACCGCGCGTGGATCGGAGCCCGCCCTCGCCATGACGCTGGAGGAGCTGCTGCCTGCTGACAACGCGGCCGAAAGGTGAGTCCGGCCGTCTGGCCGCGGGGGCCGGGTACGAGGAGGGACGGCGAGGGCTCCCGGGGCGCCTCTGATGCCCCCCCGCCTGGGCTTGCTTTCCAGGATGAGGTCAGTCGGCGAGGCGCTGGAGCGGCTCTTGGTGGCGGCGCAGCGGCAGGGCTGCCTGACGGTGGGCGTCTACGAGGCCGCCAAGCTCATGAACGCGTGGGTGCCCCTCCGTCCCCCCCCCCCCCCGAGAGCGCAGGGAGGGAGGGGAGGAGGGAAGGGGTGGCCGAGCCCGGGTGCAGCCGCCCACAGCTGCCCGCCGCCGGGAGATTGGGCTGTCCGGGGGCCGCTGACCCCGCCCGCCCTTCCCCGCAGCGACCCGGACAGCGTGGTGCTTTGCCTGCTGGCGGCGGACGAGGCGGATATCGCGCTGCAGATCCACTTCACGCTCATCCAGGCCTTTTGCTGCGCCAACGACATCCACATCCTGCGCGCCTCCGGCCTGGAGCGCCTGGCGGCCGTGCTGGGCGAGAGCCCCCCCGACGGCGGCGGCGCGGAGCCGCGGGACCTGCACTGCCTGCTGGTGACGGTGAGCCGGGCGGCGGAGGGAAGAGGAGGAGGCGGTGGCGCGGCTCTCGCGGGGGTGACACTCAGGGGCTGCTCTCCCTGGCCTGGAACTGAGGGGCGGCTTTGCCTTCCTCCCCGCAGACCCCGCACACGGACTCGTGGGGCAGCCAGGGCTTGGCGGAGGTAGCCACGTTCTGCCAGGAGAGCCGCGGCAACGACCAGTGGGTGCCGAACGTGGCTCTGCAGGCGCGCTGAGGCCCCGGCCCGTGTCTGGTGTGGAGCGTCGTGTGGGGAACGGGTGTGGACGAAGGAGAGAGTGGTGTCTGTGAGACAATTGCTACCCCAGCGCCTGACCGTCGGCAGGCGAGCGGTGGGTGAGTCACGCGAGAGAGAGAGAGAGCGAGCGAGCGAGCGCGGAGTGGAACCAGCAGAAGGTCTGACTTGGTCCGGAGGAGGAGGAGGGCTGCGCGGCTGCTGCTCCATCAGCTGACTTGCTCTGGCGGAGGCGGCGGGATGGCGGCTGTGGGGCCGTGTGGGCGCCAGGCTCCCCGTGGGCGGAGGCGCTGTTCGTGACTGCCGCGCCACGAGTGCCAAGGGGGCTGCCTGCCCAGGAGAGACGCCCGGAAGGAGGTTCGGCTTGGGGGAGGGAAGGGGGCCTGCGCGCTCCTCTCCCAGGACTCTCCCCGAGTTCCAAACCCTCCCACTTGCAAGCTCTGGCGAAGAGGAGGGCCGTCAGCTGCAAAGGATTTTTCTACCTAAATAAAAAACCTCCTTATGAGGAAGTTTTTTTATCTTGGAAGATTTGCACGTTTGTTTTCGACTTTTCTCCGAAGATAAAAGGAGATGCAGGAGTCAAATGCAAACTTATTCTCGGATTCAAAGGATAATAAACAGGTGTTAACAGTTATGTTCTGAAAGTAACACAGGTGCAAATCTTTTCCCGGCTGGTCTTGCCTTCAAGAGCCCCTCTGCTCCCTGCAGGGGCATTGGGGGGGGTCAAGGTGCACCTTTTGTGCAGGGCCGGGCCCAGCTGTTGTGCCAATTCTTGCAGCTGGAGTTGCCTTTGTTGAATTTCCAATGTGTGTGTGTGGGGGGTTTCCCTGTTCTACTTGGGTGCACCTAATTCTGCTCCCCTTGGAGCATCTTGGCACAAAGGAGGCACCAAACACCTTGGGGGGGGGGGGTGTCCAGGGCCTCATTCAGCAGTGAGTGTGTGAACACATGTTGCACAGTTGGAGCAGGTTCCAGATTGCAACAGACACCCGGCCCTTTCACCTGGTGTTTAAAAAAAACCTGTTCCAAACTGTTCCTAGACTTGTTCCTTCCCTTGGGTCCAAGGCGGAGGAGCCAACGGCAAGTCCAGCCAAGCGCAGCAGTGCCAGGCGGCTGCCCTTGCCACAGAGCAGAGTTGGCATGGTCCCCACCAGCCTTTCCCTGCCAAGGCCTGAGGACGGCCTCCCCTGCTGCCACGGCCCTCTGTGAGGTTGGGGGGGGGGCAGCTTTCTTCCCACGCCTCCCCCTCCCCTCCAGCCTGCCCTGCCCTGTGTTAATTGGCAGCTCCCATTTCCCGGAACCGCCAGGGGGGCCTCCGTGCAAGCGGTGGTTTCCCTGCTGGGATTCTTGGCCCTGCTCAGGAATGTGATCCCGCCACAAAGCGCTTTTCCCAGAACACCGGCGGCTGCGTGCCGGGCCGATTGCCAGATGCAGAGCCCGGCCTCTCCCGAAAGATCCCCCTCCCCGAGGCGACGGGTTTACCCGAAGGGGAGGGAGGGTTCAGTGGGGACAGGTGGCACATGGAGGGCTCCTCAGAGTCGGAGCTGCCCCCCTCCAGATGTTCAGGGGGCCAAAGGCTCAGGGACCCAGAAATGGTGGGCCAGGCTGCCCCTTCTCCAGCTGAGCTCTCCAGAGGTGGGACTTTGACCAAGCAGCCGCCTTGGGTGCATGAGGGGGAGTTTCTTAAATGCCTTGCCCCCCCCCCCCCCCCCCCTTTGGGGCCAACCCCCCCCCCCCAGCAGTGGTCTGGGGGAGGGCCTGCTTGCAAGCAGAGGGCGCCTCAGTGAAAAGCCTCACCAGATGTGGGGCACAGCGGGGGAGAGGGGAAGGCTGGGGGTCCCTTTGGAGGGGGAGGGGCTTCCAAGTGAACTCCATGCCCCGGGACGGCCACCCTTGGAATACAGCGCCCAGTATCAAAAAGATGCGCAGGCTCTGGGAAGAGTGCCAAGAAGGAGGGGGGATTACAGGGCTGGAGGTTGCGGGGCCTGGCTGGTTGAATGAAGAGAAGGGCCAGCGGAGACGGGATGGCGGCACTTGAGGAGCTGCCACAAAAAAGGGAGCCTCGCCTTTTCTTCCAAGTCCCAGAAGGCAGGAGAAGGAGCAGCAATAAGGATGGAAACTAACCAAGGAGAGAAGCAACCTGGGACTCGGGAGGAATTTCCTGACCATGAGACCCGTGGGACAGAAGTTGCCGCCAGAAGTCAGATGGCTGCTCCATCCCTGGAGGCTTTCAAGAAGAGACTGGACAGCCACCTCTTTGAAATGGCCTCGGGTCTCCTGCCTGAGGAGGGGGCTGGACGAGAAGACCTCCAACACCCATCACCCCAGAGAGCGAGGGGGGTCCGTGGCCCTTCCCCTTCCGCACCCAGCTCTGCCTCCGAGGACGTCCGGCCCTTCCCTGGAAAGGCTCCGCATCCTCACGCCCACCCCAGCTGGCCTGTCCCCTGAGCAGAGGCCCCCCTGAGGCCACCTGCAACCCTCTCCCCTCTCGCTCCTCCAGGGGGGGGGGGAATCGTCCCCGCTCCCTCCGGGAGTTGAGGGGAGAGGAGGCTAGGAGGAGCCAAGCCACAGTGGTCTGGCAGAGGCTGCAGCCCACCCAAAGCCCCTCCCACTGGAGGGTAAAATGGTACCTCCACAAGCAGGTCCAGTCTATCCTGATTTGCACCGGCTGGAAGCCCCAGGAGATCACCATTCGGCTCCAGAATCCAGCCAGGCGATTCTCCCCCAGGTGCTGCTCTGCTTGGCCGACGGCTTCGCTTTTCTCTGTTCTTGGGGGAGGAGGGGGGGGCCTTTTAAAAAAGGC